TAATCCTTAAATAAAAAAAGTTAAAAATTGACATCCTTAAATAGAAAAAAGTTAAAGGTTGACATCCTTATTTAAAAATTGACAAAATTAACATCCTTATTTAAAAAAAATTAAAAATTAATATTCTTATTTAAAATTTAATAAAATTAACATTTTTAAATAAAAAAAATTATAAAGTTGACATTATTTTTTACACCTTTACTTCTAAATTCCCAAAAAGAAATCTACAAACTTCGAATATTTAAGGCCCAGCCAAAATGATCCAAAATCCAGCTCATCTCTACAAACTACTTAATAAGGGCCCATCTATCCTAACTGGCCCATTGCACCCCTCGCCTTGCCTTTAGGCTTTCAAGAAGTTGCTAACTGCTACAAACTCCGTAGTTGCAGCCAACTCAACGTTGGTGCTTCATTCATGCACTTCTCGCACTCTTTGGTTAATTTCTACGTGCAATCCTCCTCCACCAACAATATGAAGATCCAGTCAATAATTTCCTCCGGCCACCCTCATCCTCCACCATCTCCTCCATTTCCTTCTCCGATCTCAACACCACCGAGTTATGCATATTCCCCCCCCCCCCCTAATTATTTCACTTGAAAATTGAAATTCTTCCATTCATCTTATTTTTCTTCATTTTTTACAGTCTATATTTTCCTTTTCCATGATAGGAGCACAACATTGTGTTGCCGTTGCCGTAAATGTAGAAAATCGCGCCAGTTTTGTGTTCATTGAGGACTTCAGGATCGACAACAATGACTCTACAATTTAGGAGATCAGAATCGCTTTCGAGAATCTTGAAGACCACCTTGATTTTTTTCATGTGAACTTTGTTTTAATCATTTTTGTCTACTTTGAGTTTGCCTGCGGTTTTACGTTTGGTTTTTTTTTTTTCATTTGGTTCTGTTTCATTGATGAAAAAATGAAGTGAAATCTCCATGGAAAATGCATCTTAATTCTCTAATCAGTTTGCTTAATTTTGAAAAGTAAAAATAAACACGTATTGGCGCGGATATTTATAACATTTTTTTCCTTTTAGTTGAAGTTTTAAATTATGGAGATAGTGCATAAAGATTTTAGTTGCTGTTTCTTTTGTTTCATTCATTTAGAGTGACATTTTCTTAGTTAGGTGGATAATAGCATTTAACTTATTATTAAAGAGTCACAGGAAGATGAAGGTTCTAAAGCTCTGAATTGAGCATTCTTAAGGACATATAGAGATTGCAGAGGTTAGCATAATTAAAATTGAACAAGATTGTATTGAATTGGTAGCAATAGTACAAATTTTGGAATCAAAGAAATGACAATAGGAGTTTAGTTGCAAGAGTAAGCTATTTTGGATGTTGTATGTATGTATAGTTAGTGGGCTGCATTGTGGTTCAATATTAGGATTGGGCTAAATTTATTAATTCATTCTTAAGCTGATTTAATTATTGCATTTAATTCTAAATCCATATTACCAGTCAGTTCCAATTGAAAGGCTACTTTTGTATAAGTACAAAATCTTATCTCATAACTCAATATATCTCGCGGTCTGGATTAGAGTGCTGATGCTCAGAACTAAAATGGGGCATTAGAATTACTCAAAAATTGAACAAGCATGATTCACAGACATGGATAGAATAATCATGTAATATAATCTACTCTTATAACATTATTCATAATTAATGGCATTTCAATGTTCATATCCTTCATTTTTCTTGTTGTTTATTATTCATTATATGACTTTCCAATTAGTAGCTGAGTCAGGCTTTTCAATTCATACTCCATTAAATGCAGTTAAGATGACAACATTTACATAGATAATGCACATAGTTTTCTATGAAAAAAAATCAAGAAACAAGCATGAAGAAATATTGGTTTCTATGTATAGTTAGTGGGTTGCATTGTAGTTCTTACTTTGCTGCTTGGTGCAGGAAAAATGAAGATTAAAGCAAATAATCAAGAGATATGTCAAGAGTTGGAAGTACCATTTTTAGCAATTAAGAGATTATGTGGTGGTTGCTACGTTAGTGTCTTTTTTGTGATTTGAGTTCTTAATAGATTGCTTAATGCCTATCACTTGTTATATTCCTTTTACATTTAATTACATGGCTTATTAATCTTCTAGGAGGTTTTGGCATAATTTTCAACATATTGAGGTAGATAACTCTTTATCTACAATGGACAAGTAAATAACTAAATATTACTTAAGGTTGTGCAGAGAAAACTACCAATTTTTAAATTTTTTTATACAATTCTGCAGTTCTTTTTTTTTTTTTTTTCTTTTTGTGGGTCATGTTTCAGATGTAAAATAAATTTAGTCCTGCCAATAGAAAGTTTAATGGACCTTTGAGTTGTTAAGTTTAATTTTGTTTCAATAATCTCTGTAGGCTGGTCTTTGCTTTTTTTGCTTTTTAAAGAAAAGATATTCATATGATTCCATTTCTTTATTTATAATTGTTTGCAGTCATAGCAACTATAATATTTTTACATAAACTTACAATCCATAGGCATTCAAATGGTAGACGCAAAAAGCAAATGGTCTCTTTTTTCTTTCTTTCCTTTTCTTTTTTTATAAAAAAATATTTATTTCTAAGTAATTTTTTATAATAATAATTAAAGCAAAAA